AGTTTTTAAGTTTTTATTCTTTGTTATTTTAACGATGTCGAAGATTATCAGCTGTACCGAAGAACACTACCATTACCAGTAACAAATAAATCAACAGCAATGGATAACAAATCGACATATTTTGCCTATCACTTTATAATAATTAGTTTTAAAGATAAAAATGTGAAAATCTTAGATAAGTGAAATTTTCTAATTCTTTTTTTTAATTTCTTTAGACTTAATAAGCCTCTGTCTTTTCTTTTAAGTATTTCAAATTTTTAAGCATATAAACTATCATTGATATCTTTACAATACAAAATATTAAAAAAAACTGTTCAAATATATCTGCAAAGAACAAAAACTAAAGAAATTTCAAACCTCGTCATTTTCGTTGACGTATGTGGTTCTAAAATTGATAATAATATCCACAATAAACATAATATCAACAATTAAATCTATTATCTCAAGCGGATCCGAAAAACGAGCCCTTCTTCTATTATCCTTTATCTGCAATTAAAACAACATTTTTGGATGGAACAATTACCAAAAGTTTTCTTTCAAAAAAAAAAAAAAAAAGGGGTTTTTACTTTATATGCTTAACAATTAAAAATTTTTTTTGTTCGGTTACCTAAAAAATGTTGTAAAATAGATGATTTGCATTAAGACAGATTTACTGTAAAACTTAAAAAGTGTATGCCAAAATTTTAAGAGTTTTCTACAATTTTTGATGATTTTCATTTTCCAAAACAATAATCAATGTCAAAATGATGTTTTCTTTTTTTTTTTTTTGACAACATTTTAAGTTCAAAGATTTTATAAGAGTAAAAGCAATAGAAAGAAAGAGCACGAACAAAAAAAATTGTTGGAAAATCATAAAAAAAAAAGATCTCTTTAATAGCTAATGAAATTGCCAAGATTTAAATGCTGAATATACATCGAACAAATAGGATAAGTGGAAAAATGCTTGTGTATCTATATGCTTCTTTTGTTCTTCATCTCATAATTTTAGTTCGTCTTTGGCAAAATGCTTGTCAAAGATGAGTGCTTCCTTCTCAGTCTCATCATCAGAATGCTCAGTTTATCAATAGTGGCTCTTCACCGTCAACGTCGCCATTGGTTTCAGAAACAACAAATTTTTTGTGTTAACAAGGGTACCACTTCCTCTTCGTAAAGAACAAATTTGAAAAAAAAATATAATGAGAAAGCCGTTCAGAGCGACTAAATTTGCTGCCAAAACTTCCGCAAAACAATTGTTTATCCTTTGTCAAGAGGTTACGATCCGGAATCGAAAATGATGATTACTAATATTCATCTCTACGGTATGATATATCCTTGAAAAACTTTTGCAAAATCCTGAGATGTAATTTCCTTCTCAATGGATAACCAAATTTCTTGCAGTCAGTACAATGTAGCAGCGTTTTTAATGTTTTGCCAGTTGCAGTATGCTCGAACAAGAAGCAAAATATGACAGAATTTAAAGATTATGCTCATATCAGCCTCAGTATCTCTAGCTTCTTCTTCAAACATGTGAAAAAAAAATTATCCACAAATGGCAGAAGAATTTGTCACAAACACTGAACCATTCTTTTCTGGTAAAAGTAAAAACAATAGTACCACTCTACAAAATGCAAAATAATTGTTTTTTCCTTCCTACCTGTACTAAAAAACAAAAATGAATAAAATATTTCGCGAGCGTACAAAGATGGAAATAATTCATCTGTTCGCATATATTTCATCAAAAGGACCTTTTCACTGTACCAACAAAGCCACACAACAGACACTTCCATATTGCATGGCATTGCCAATGAAAATCCAAGCATCCCATTCTGACGATTATGTCGAATTGTACAGCAAATTAAGTTTTTGTGACAAATTTCCGTTAAAAAGTAATCTTCAGCAGGAAGAGTCATTGAAACATTATGAGTAAATAAAAAAATGCCTGCTTAGAGTCTCAAATAAAAAAAGAAACTGTCTATACGATAATCTAAATACTGGTATGTCAAAGCATTAACTGATAGCCAAGCAAGACAAGTTTTTCCTTGTTGTCCATGAAGGTTCCTTCAGCTTCTAAACACTTTATGTGTACAGAATATTATAAGAATGTGGCAAAAATTTTTCCCTAGAGTTTCCTAAAGAAACTAAATAAAATACCATTTATTGAGAACTATTTTTCAAGATTTTGCTAAGTAGATTGTTCTATAATGCATAGATAGTCGTTTAACAATCTTTAAAAAAAATAAAGATAAATGGGAACGAAAAAAGAGAAGAAATTTTTGAAACGAATCAGCGAAAGACAAGATAACACAAAAAAAAAAACATTAAGAGCTCTTCAAACGCTTAAAAACTTTGAAAACAGGCAAGAAACAATGAAAAGAGCCTAGAAAAAGAATAATGCAGAATTCGAAGCTTTTCTACCGGATGGCAACAAAGAATTCTATTACTGTTCTTCTCAAGTACCAATATTTGGAAACGCTCAGTTATATCGCTCTAAACGTAATATTTTGACAAGGAATTTCAACCAAACATTTTCAAAACTCAAAAGTACGCAAAACTAACCTCTGGTAACAAAAAAGCAGCTACATAAGGCGTAAAAATGGCAGTGTAAATAACGAGTAAAAGAATAATCCAATCCCATACCGCCTTAAACGGCGAGTAGTGTACAATTGTGCAGTGATGGATCCTAAAAAATACCAAAATCCGATAAGCTAACTTAAAAAGTCAAGCAATTTTCCAGTACCGGTGTTCTGTTGTTAGGAGCACCGGAGTAAACCTCCATGCCGCAGTTCTCGGTAAGGTTTTCTTCATTGAAACATTGGCACTACAAAGCTTAAATATCGCTTCCGTCAATCCCCATTTCCCAACCTTTACACTGCCCAGGTTCTCTGGATCACTCCAGAACAGCTGGACTTAGCATCAAATACAGGTCAACTTGTTTACCTGGTTGGTTGTAATTTGTACTCCGGCAGCACATCAGCTCCCAGCGATAACACCTAAAAAATACAGACAATCTTTGAAGCCAAGTTTGAAAATTTTTTACGGGTTACTGAGATAAAGCAAAATTTTCCCTGTAACGTATTTTTACTGCTAAAACGGTTCAGTTGAAACAGTTTTTGTACTTTAATCTGTTAATTTTTTTTGTTTTCTAAAGAGTCATTTGAAAAGTTAATTTTCCTCTAGAATAACAATACTTACAAATTGTCAATTAATCTAAGCTGCCTAAAGAAAAGAATAAGCTAATATACTTTCTTTTTGTTTGAAAAGACCGCAGCAAAAAGCAGAAATTTTATCTTACCGCTGACAATTTTTGTTCTGCGCTGCTCTACTTTTATCCACACATTTTTTTGTTCTTGCTGACCCAGTCCTTTTGTGTTGTCTTGGAAAAATCTTATAAATTCTAAGCTTTGAAGCCCAATTTTTTTTTATTTCTATTCTAAATAAGAAAAAGCAAAACTGTTAAACCTTTCACAGTATGCAATGAATAAGCCGCAGAAAACCCAAATGAAATGAGGTTGGAATTGAGATTTAGCAACTCCTTCAGCCCAAAAAACTTCAGTTTAAGCGAAAAATCTTGTCTCTGCGAAGGGCATACATTGTGGATGCAAAATCGACGTAAATTTTTTTCATTGACAGCTAAAGTACAGTGTCTCCTCCTTTTCTTCGTCTCCTCACCACAGCAAATCAGTGTCTTTAATGCCGCAAATATAGTCTAATGAAGAGACGACAAAGTAAAGGAGAAGGAGTGTCTGCACTGATTTGAACTAGGGAGGCAAACTGTTATATGGAGAGATAAAAAAATGCATAGTTTTTTTGCTTCTTCTGGTTTACCATGACAGACCAAAAAGGAGAAGGAAAAAAGACAAAGATTAAACGAATTGGAAAATGAGGACAAAAGCAGCGAAGTAAAAAAGAATAGCAAGAACCAAAACCAACTGATATTATTAAAAGGCAAGCAAGTTATTTGCGCCAGCAACAAAAAAAAAAAAAAAGAAAAAAAAAACTAATTCGTAGTGATATCCAAAACAGATGTTCGGTAAAAAAAAAAATCGTGAGTTTTTTTTTTTAATGTTCCAGCATGTAAAACAAACCCCTTTAATCCTAGGATAGACTTATTTACTCAAAAAAATAATGAGACATAAACAGTTTTTGGACTCAGCAAGGCCTTTTCATTAATCTACTGCCATGGCTTTCCCATTAACATTCCAGCTTATCGTTTTCGATGCTTGCAAAAAGTAACAAAAGACACACAAACATCCAGACACAGGGACACACACAAAACCCACAACACTCAACACACAATACAAACACACAAACACATAAAAACAAACATACAGACATACAGACACAAACTCACAGACACACAGACACACATACACATACATACACACATACATACATACAAATACACACACACACACAAACAAACAAACACACGCATATTCCGATATGCATGCATAGAAGGAACCGAGGCACACAGAAACATAGGCGCAGACAGACACAGACATACATCTGCACACAAATAGGTACAGATGCACACCGACAAGACACATACCAGCAAACAAACAGTCAGCGACTGAAACACAGATATAAACGGACAGCGGATTGGACGAAATATCCAAAAATGAAAGCATAAAAGAGCATCAAAGACAAATGCTTAAAGAGCACAATAGGTATTTTAGATGCCATTTTTTTCCCCTTTCATTTCATTCTTTCTTTCTTTCTTCTTTCCTCCAATTCCACCCTTCCCCCTCCAACCATTCCCCTTTTTGTTCCACTGTATTGTCAGCTTAACAGCAACATATAATTCCTAAAATAAGATGGGGGTAAAACTGTGGTGCGACAAAATAGAACAAAAATAGCACAAAATAAGCAGCTTCTTCAACCAATGTCTAAGCCTTTGATTAACGCAAAAAAAAAAAGTAAAGGGTGTTTTGACCGACATTTTTCCGGTAGCTTTTTCCTTTTTCTTTAATATTCCTCCTAAAGCAAAGCAAGTCGTGTAAAAAAAAAAAAAAAAAAAAAGGAAAAATGACAACTACTTTTCAGCTTAAAACTTTGTCACCGTTAAGTCTGCAAAATTTTCTGCAATTTTTTTTTTTTCCCAAAATAGGCTTTATTATAACCTAAGCTTTAAAAAAAGACAAGAAGAAAAAGACAAATTTACAGCAGTAATTATTGTTGTCTACCTTAATGGTCTGTTTAAGGTTGTATTTTCAGAAGAAAACCAAAAAAAACCAAAAAAAAACCAGTTTAATGATTTGATATGTTGCGAATAATCATTCCTTTCCACGGAACTTATACATTTCAAAGAAGTAACAAAATGGCCGTATAAAATTTAGCACACATTCTCACACTTTTTAATTAAAAAAAAAAAA